GCCATAAAATCTGTACTTAAGATTCTAAGAGCATCATTTTGTTGGAACTTTTTCAAAGTAGTGCCTTTCCCGATACTGAACGGTCTTGAGGTGGTGTCACAGCCAGTAAGGGAATGGAGAAAGAGCAGAGAATGTTGAAATGCCCCAAGTTGTATAATTAATTGTTTAGTATCCCGTTGCTTCATTTTTAAGCTGGGATATTTTTGTTCGGGTAGAAATAGATGTTATGAGCATGTTCATCAGCATAATGTGCTAACAGCAGGAGAAGATCTGTATCTTCTCCTATTGCAACGGTATCTTTGTGCTGCGCACACTTAATTGCTGCTTGGACAATCTTAAGGTCAGCATCACATTTTCTGTACATGACAATGTGTCCTCTGTCTCCAAGCACTGACCCGAGGGCATTGATGAAAACGTTGCTTATTTTCTTTGTTGACAAGAAAATGATCATTTTAAGATTGGAGAACCATGTCTAACTTAAAATGAACAGCTTGTCCTGTAATTCCTTTGGCTCTTTTGAGCTGTGTCATATCTTTTGTCAACGGGCTAGACAAATACCCATTAAAAAAACAAAGGTTGCGTTTGAATAATTCTTGCTGACATAAGAAGCATATTATAATGTCTCGATAATACTAATGAAGGTGCTCCCTCGTTTCCAGGGAATGCGCTGCAGTAAAGACCCTCCATCAAACGACGATCTGCAGGTTAGCTGGTGATGGCAGATCAGGCGTAACCATTGTCCTTGATTTCCTAAGTTCTTCTAGCAGAGCTGATTTGTTGGACTGGTGAAGGATATCTTCAGATTCAGACAATGACAAGCGGTAGCTGCAAAGTTCAAGTTTAAAAATCTCTATCTTGTCTTCATTTTTTGAAGTTGCAGCTGTCACTAATCTCTGGAACAACAACTGAGAATCAATAGTCACAGGGTCGTGGTTACTCTATAGAGCTGTCTTTGCAGCCATTACAACAACTTTGTCTTTTTTATTCAAGGACAATTCTGAGACTGATCCACCTTCCATTTTGCTGAGAATAGTTTGACCAACATCTTGTGCTTTGTCAACGTTGACAGCTGTTTCTGCAACCACCTTCGTAACGATATTTCTCAAACTAGCGTCTTCAGCCAGCGGATTTATCTCATGAAGAAACTTGGTAACAGCCATCATATCCTGCACATCCTTTTGCCGATCCCAAATGGACCCAGTTTTTTGTGCTGTTCACTTGAGAGTCGCAACGTGCCTGTCACTTTTTGCATGGCGTTATTTAGTTCTACGCAAGCTGACATTGTCAGAAGCCACGTTGCTGTCTGTGATTTGCTGATTCCCCTGCCTCTTGTCAGTCCCCCGGTTTATTTGACACTTCACATTCATATTTGCTCAATGGCTAAATCTGAAGAAAGTCCTGCCTTAAAGTTCAAGAGATTACTTCGCCTAATTACGTGATGGCCGTCCGAAAAACTCTTATAGATATGAGGGTGAGTCTCCTAGCTGGTTCATCATCTGGAGATACAAGTATGCTAAGTGTGTGCATAAATGGTGTCCTGCCGCACCTAGATAGTATAACATTTAGTGAACAGTAGACAGATGTAAAAGCCCGTTCTCTCTCGGCTTTAAGAAACATCTTTAACATGTCAACCATTGCCATACATTGAAGTCACACTTTGCTTGTTCTACTGATGAGAGTACTTGCGTGATCTTCGACTTTCCTCGCCAAACCAAGAAGAAGTTCATTGCCCTTCAGATCATTGACAGACAACTCGTTTGCCAAAACTTGTTTGTATAAAGTTAATAAAACCTGCAAGTCTTTATTCGATGCCGGTGATTAGGTGTTGCAGCTTCGATGTTTTGAAAAAAATATCTGACAGAGAGTAATTTTCACTTGAAGCTTCATTGCTAGACTGAATATCTTCGACTTCTGATGAGATGCCCAATGCACGCGAGGAAGCTCATTGCCACATGAAGCGTCCTAAACGCAGCAAACTGGAGCGGAGTTCACTGGTTTCAGGCTCGCCTTCAATGATTTTCAACACTTTCCACCACAAAGGCTGGTCAAATGTTATAATTGGTGTTTGTTGTGTTATTTCGCATGGGGACGACAAGAACGACCCTGCCGGTTAAAATGGAGACTATACAATGCGAGGAACAAAAGAGCAACAAATTCATTATCTGATTCTATTCCAGACTGTAGGCCTATCTGATATTACACATACACGCACGCGCGCGCACACACACACACACACACACACACACACACTAACGCAGGCACGCAGTCATATACAAACAATACAAACAATGCCGAAAGCTAGTATGAATGAACGACTGAGATATATAGATCTAGACTCAAGTCATTTC